ATGTGTCTGTTTGCTGACAGAAAAAGCATAGGCTCTTTTACATATGGGCTCAAGGAGGACAAAAGTGTATGTTTTCTGAATGCCGTGACTCATTTGTAACCTTACAGTAGTCACGTTGAAATGCTACCATGACAAGCTTCATAGATGAATGGAAACGGATCACAAAACATAATATTGCTCGTCTATATCATGCAAAAGGTTAAAAGAATCATTTTGACATATCCTGACCATATTTCAGACTCATTCTCGCTATTTCAAGCATTTAAAGGTACACTATGCAAGATTTGTACCTTAATATAACAGCTTCAAAGTCGTTTCAGTGGTAAACAAAGTCATAGTAGAGCGAATCATCCTGATATTAAAGCTTGGGGGGGACGCCGCTGGAAAAACCAGCAATGCAAGTTTGAGAGCGGCGCCCCTGACAAATCTTTCTTCTTCCATAAGGGGGTTTGGCATCACAACAGCTTTGTTTCCTGTTAAGAATGCGAGACACACATCTCCCAGAAATCAGAGAATTCAACCAATCAGATGATTACTTTGAAAATTGTATGTGCTATATTCATCGGCCAGTGGGCATAACATCTGAGGCTTGACTATACTGCATACTGTAAAAGTCACTCTATTATATAGACTGCCAGAAAAAGATTAGGCCTATCTGCAGCAGTTTCTCTTACAAACTGCATTTCCAGTCGAGTCCGGGCCAGAATTTATAGCCTCCCGCATAGACCATTCATTTTCTTCTCTCCCTCGCAGCAAACTCACAGCTGAAATGGCTTAATTATCCATCAGGGCTAGATGGATGACAAACCCTGTACTCATAAACAGCTTCAGGTAAAGTCTCTGCATTGGTAGAAAAAAAATATTTCACTAAATGTTAAACTCTAGCCATGTGTTGAATAGAAGAAAAACATAAAACTTAACTAAGGTCGGTGGATAGTCAAAAAAAAAATTATCAAAATTATTACATATAGACAGTCTTGACAAAAAGCCATGGGCTCCCGCTCCTGAAAGAATAATATAATAATAAAATAAGCCATTCTTCCCCTGCAAAGAAATGCAGTATGTTGTGACAAATTGCCCCAATAACAGCTCTCTGTATGTGCAGTGCTATATGCTGTCTTATCAGGTCAACAGATTACTTTGTCAATGGTATTGGATTCATAATCAAATTAGACATAGGTGCATGTTTTGTTTACCTAGCCTAAATAAGGACATACCATATACAAAGTACATCTAGGTAATAAACCCACACATATTCTATTCTGTGGGAACAGTACATTAGCACTTAATTCATTTACACAAATCAAACGCTGGAATGCCTTTCTAAATTACACTAATATTTCCTCTTATCTCCATCATCCTATCTAATAAACCCCCTTTTAGACACATTCCCAACTCTGTTTAAATATTTACATCAGCATCAGCAACACTAGGGTGTTTTAAGAAGTAGGCTAGCTGATACATATGTGCTGCCCAGCTCAGCGGGATCGAGTGTATCTGGAGCCTGTGAGTGTGGTAAGCATGTCTCAGGGGTGTTAGGGTCATTATAGCCCCTGTGTTTAGAGCTAAATGAGAGGTAATCATTTCAGAAATGCAATGTACTACAAGACAGCTCTCTCTTTCTCTTGGCACACTCTCTTTAGTCACTCAAACACATCAAAGTGCTGCAGTGGTGATGTACTTTGGTCTGCTTCTATTGTTTTTGCCCTCTAAATAATCCTTTGTAATAGTACTTCTTACTTCTATATAGTATAATAAAATTAATTTATGAGATGTGATTACCTAGAATACTTTAAAATGGCTCTTCCATGTCATATTGGTTGCTCACCCCTGATCTAGCGTAATTGTTAATCTTTCAAATTAATAAGCATTTTCTGTGGGCTGAACTGAACTTATATATATATATATATATATATGAAGAGTTCAGATGCAAAAGCCTCTAAATGCCATTTGAAATTTTCTTCTTTAATGATGATTTGTATCAAACTTGTATATTTAAGTTCAGTAATTTCACTTAAATGGCAATGATAATTGCCTATTAATTGTTATTTAAGTGAAATAACTGAACATAAATATACAAGTTTGATAAAAATCATCATTAAAGAAGAAAATTTCAAATGGCATTTAGAGGCTTTTGCATCTGAACTCTTCATATATATATATATATATATATATTAGAACCGTTGATGGGCCCCATTAACTTGCATTTAATCATTAACCATATTCTTCTAAATATCTTCTTTTTTTGTGTTCAGCTAAAAAAGTTTGGAACAACTTGAGAGTGAGTAAATGATGACAGAATTTTCATTTTTTTGAGTGAACTATCCCTTAAAATCATGCACTAATTTTTTGTATTTTTACAGGAACTGTGTGTATCATTTTCAAATGTAATGTTCTACATAACTTTACATTCAATATTTTGGTATACTAAGGTATACAGAAGTCTTTTATTTTGCATTATGCTGGTAGCAGATCTGATTTACCCCAAATAAAGTGATTGATTATAATTTTTTTTTAAGTACTTCAACCATTAATGAACATCTGACCTATTTGATAAAAGCTCATAATGCAAAGAAATGCAAAGAGATATTTATATGCAGTTTCTGATCCTAAGTTTGCCACTTAAAGGGTTAAATAGAGAGACTTTATAATGTACAATAAGAGGCTAATAACATATACTTTAGACTAGGGGTGTGCGATATGACGATTTTTAATCGTGGACGATTAAAATGTCTCCACGATCTGCTTTTGAAGAAATATCGTAGTATCGTGTTACAGTGCATTCTATCAGTTCAGTTCTGGCGCCGTCTCAACTGTACAACGCGACGTAGCCTACACATCACACATTAATGAATAGGTATGGGACACTGCAATTCACAAAAGTTCACTATTTGCATAAGCCTTGCCGGTTAAACATTTAATTCACGCGCTGATGTGCTGTTCTAACGTGCGCTTTCCTGACCGCATACCCACGGCGCTCACAGGCACTTAAAGCCTGTCAAACAGCGCCTGAATACTGGACTAAGTTATCGTTCGAGTCTTATTATGCTAATACTGTTAAATACACACAATGTTTACATAAACAGGCTATGTCTAAAATGAAAGCAAACATTTGAGAGAATATCTGGTGTAATATGCGTCTATATTAAACGCGTCGCGTGCTGGTCTAAAAGCGACAGGAATAATACTGCCGCATGTCCTTAAAGGGATAGTTCACCAAAAAAAAAAAAAAAAAATCTGGCATTAATTACTTACTCTAATGTTGTTACAAACCTGTATTAATTTCTTTCTTGTGCTGAACACAAAAGACGATTTTTTTTAATGTGGGTAACCAAACAGTTGCTGGTCCCTATTAACTTCCAGTAGAGAACCTATAAAAACTATAGGGGGACCAGCAACTGTTCGGTTACCCACATTATTCAAAATAACTTTTATTTTCAACAGAAGAAAGAAACTTATTTGGGTTTAAAACATCTTGAGAGAGTAAATTAAGACCATTTTCATTTTTGAGGGAATCTCTTTAGTAAAAGGAAAAAAAAAAAAAACACAAGGAGAAAATCACTCACTGACTGAGAACTTTAATAGTAGCTTTAATAAGAATCAATTTATTCAGTGAAGTCTCTGTAGTGTTTTAATTTCATATTTGTTTAATTTAATTACTTTCTTCAATGCTACTTCTAAATACACCTAGTGCATCTGAAAAATAAAGCACTATTTATTTAATTTGAATATTAATTTGTGTAATGTTTATCTTGTCTTATTTTTTTAATAACAAAGAAAATAATGACAAAGATTTTTATCTTCGCCACTGGCCTAAATGTATGCCTTTCTTTTTTCTTTTGTTACCTAAGGCTTTGTTTTTAACATAAGGACATTAGTTTGGCTGTAATGAACAGCCACTTGCAAAATTTTAAAACCAACTTGAAAAAGAATCGTGATAAAAAATCGTGATCGTGATTTTCCTAAAAAAATCGTGATATGATATTTTTTCCATATCGCCCACCCCTACTTTAGACTATAAAATAAAATAACTTTTTTATAACAAATATCTCGTATGTATTATTATGAGATGAAAAGTAGCCATTGCGACTGTTACTTAACAGAGAAAGTCTTTTCTATTCTGCTCATATAGACTTTTCACTCAAACGACTTCTTTCTTGATGCAGCACGCCTAATTTCCCAGTGTTATGACATGTACTATATAAAGCAGCGTTAACAGGTAAGCTCAGAGTGTTCCTTTCAGCCCCCTTTCTCCTGGTTTAGTAAAACCCACATCATCCTAATGAAAAAAAAAAAAAAAAAACTGAGGATAAAGCCCTCAAAAGCACACAAAGCCAACTGTTTATATGGATGAACAATGGAACACAATGAATGTTGAATCCCATGTTTCCCTCCATATTGGCTTGTAACCCGAAATGTACCGTATAAAATCGAATCAAGATAATCTGATCTACACTGTGAAAGTAGTCGACTTTTTTTTTTTTTTTAATAACTGATGCTGATTTTTTTAGATGTTTTTTGGTTTATTTAGGACTGATATATTACTGACATACACTACAATTCAAAAGTTTGGGGTTGGTGAGAGTTTTTAAATGTTTTAAAAGAAGTTTCTTGTGCTCACATTTATTTGATTAAAAATACAGTAAAAACAATTAGAACTATTTAAAATAAGTGTTTCATATTTGAATATATTTAAAAATGTGTTATGTTAAAGATGAATTTTCAGCAGATATAGTTTCCGTCTTCAGTGTTGCATGATCCTGCTGATTCGGTGCTCAAGAAACATTTCTTATTATTATCAATGTGAATTTTATGGTGCTTTTTGAAGCTTAAATAAAGCATCTACATTGAAATGGCCAAAATAGCGCCACCAGAACAAAAAAATATGATTTTTATCGGTTCAAATGACATGAGTGTGTCTCTGGGTGAAGTATTTAAAGAAATTTAGTGTGCAAAGAGCTTATTAAATTGCATGCTGTGTGTATGCACGTGCCACTTACTCCCATTCCTTTCGCCGGGCCTGTGGGGTGCTGTGGATCTTGTGCGCCTGATGTGCTTTAATGATGTCCCGTTGTTCAATAAGTCCCCCCCTGCGTCTGTTAATGATATTTGGGCTGACGGGCATGTCGGGGTCCAGACCCAACGCGGCCGCCCCCTCGCATGACCCACCCAGATCCAGGGAGGATGGTGCCAGACACATCGGGTGGGCGTGGGGGACGTAAAGTGTATCGAAACTAGATGCATGGTACAGGAAACTGTCAGACAGTCTCTGGGGCTCCAGGAGAGAACAGGTGAGGGAGCCGTCTTCCAGGGTTCCCCGGTGCTTGAGCCAGCTCTCCGGGTCCTTGGGCTGGAGGAGGAAACATCGCGGGGGTAAGCTCCCACCACACACGCCCTGACCGAAAGACGGGACTTCCAGGGCATTACGGTCAGAGAGGGTCTGAGCGCTGACCGAACACGTGCCCAATTCCAACATCCTGAGGCCAGACTCTCAGCATCGTTCTGTTTAAAGAGAAAAGAGGGAAAGGTGACAATTAATTAGAGGGCCTCATCATGCTTCCAAAAAACTGCAAGATGACTTCAGATTATTTAAAATAAGACAAAACAGTAAAAAAATAAAAAATAGTTTTGCTAACTATTGAGTTTATGGTCATTGAATGGCTTTTCTGAGGTAATGTTACACCACATATTGTTCTCAAGTTGTTTTATTTACATCTTTCCGAGGTTGAAAGTGATTGAGCAATCAGCCTCTTCACTTGTACCGAGGCGATATATGAATGTCACGCAACATTAAAGAGCAGCAAAATGGTATTTATTGTTTGAATTTCATAATATAATGGACAGATATTTAAATCTGAATTTTTTTTTCATATCTAATGTAACAAAGCACAACGCTTAGTGTTTATTTGATGGAAGGCGCGCTAAAAAGTTCTGTTAATTCATCAACTGAAAACAGATTTTCTTGGTTGATAAAAATGAAAGACTATACTAACCCCCAGCCATACAAACAATCAACAAGTGTATTTTATTAACTAACGTTCACAAAGATTATTAGATATTAAGGTTCACTGTTAGCTCAGGTTAGTTAATACATTAGCTAATGTTAACAAATAAACTTTTTTTTTAGGATTACATAAAATCTTAAAAGGTCATGCAAATATATAGTGATTATAATTATTTTTGTGAGTAAAAAACAATTTATCCCACAATCATGAATGACACTGTAAAAAAATATATATATATATTTTCAAGATTTGTTATCACAACATTTTTTCTTTTGCCAAATTAACTTAAATAATTTATTTAGTTGAGATAATTTATTATTTTGAGTTCTTACAATTGCAAGCCCTGGAATTACAGAATGTAATTATTTTAATTTGATTTATTTCAAATTATTTTAATATTGTCATTACCAATAATGAAAACCAATACTTTTTATCTGCAAATAAAAAAACTTTTTATTTGTAGATAAAAAGTAAAAACAAGCTGTTACTTCATTAGAACCGTCTAGGGGCCTTGAATTTAAAAAGGCTGAGAAACACCGCACTGAGAACAGGTTTTGTTTGGCTTACCAATGTGCAAAATTATTAACCTGACAGGGAAATGGACACTTTTGCAAATGCATGAGAGCAGACATGTGATTTATCAGAATATAGACTTTTTTGAGTCATGACCCACCTGTTGAGAACCATTGATCTTCTGTTCATGCAAACAAATGAGGTTCAACATGCAAAGACTTCAAAAACACATTTACCATTAACTATATCAATAACTAACAAAGCCATGCCAGGCGCATCAAGAGAAAGAGTTTTAGCATCCTTAGCTTATTCACTGTCAAATGCGACACTAATTTAATGAGATATTCCCTCCAGTCTCATTCAAGGAGCCCTAATTGTTGTAGAAAGAATGTTGCAACCCATGCTTGTTTAATGCGTTGCCTAAAACAATTTAGCAACATTGGCAGCCTATAAAAATCATGACAATATTCCACTCATAATAACCTAATTAGGAAATCAGTTCTAAACAAATTAAATCGTAATAAAATCCCAGCTAAGGTCACAAATCACGCAAAATATTCACGTCTATGTCCTCTCCATATTAGCTTCTATATTAATCTGTCAAAACATATCTAGAGTTTATTTAACAATGCAACAGTGCCACAATTCTCAGTCTACCTATAGTAAATGCCAAGAACCACACACACACACACACACATATATATATATATAGTTTTTAGAAATGTTTAGAAATGTTGTATTGCAGATTATACCTATTTTTCCATGACGATTCTCTATATATTATTGTTTTTACTATAGTTACTGTTGAAGTAGTATTGGCCATTTATAGTTTAAAATAAAATACATTTTCAGTGCATCTGTTCTTTTTCATGGCACCTTGTTTGCAGCGTCCAGCTCTAATCATCTGGTCCCTTTAACATGTAGACACCATGAAGCCAGAGCTGACAGGGCATAAATTAGTAAGACTGGCCAAATAAAACAATGTGACTGAAAAATACAAACTGATCCTGCGCTCAAAGCTCTGTGATTCATCACGCAAATCTACGCAGAAGCGGTGTGGCATCTTATTAAACCCCAGCTGAAAATGGAGCAGCGGTTGACAGTTGCAGAAGGATGCAGGGGTGTTTGTGTTATATTTACCATGATGGCCCACATCCAACATCATCTCAAACACTAATAAGGGTGAAATATAGTATGATGCTAGCCTTAGGCGAGTAGAAAAAAGCCAAATCTTGTTGAAATTGTAATGCTCAGAGGTTGCTCTAGTTCAAAAGAAATGGTGTTGGAGTTTTCAGATCAACTAAAGAAATTAGATGCAGTATAGTAAGAATATACACTACCAGTCAAATGTTTGAATCTATAAGATTTTATTTTATGTTTTTGAATGAAGTTTATTATGCTCACCAAGGCTGCATTTATTTAATAAAAAAAAAACCCCAGTAATATCGTGAAATATTATTACAAATTTAAAATAACTCTTTTTTATTGAAATATATTTTAAAATATAATTTATTCCTGTGATGCAAAAGCTGAATTGTCAGCACCATGTCTTCAGTGTCACATAATCCTTTAGAAATTATTCTTAGAATTATTTTTGTTGAAAATAGTTAGGAATGGAGGAAAGGGAGGAGAATGCATTGCATTGTCTCAAACTGTGATTCATTTATTTCCATCATATTCTTTATGTCAAGTTAACTTCTGTCTGTTTTCATATTATTGTTGCTATTTTTGGTGAAAACCATGATACATTACTATACAAAAGTTTAGGGCAAGTAAGATGAGGAGTGAAGATGGTGAAGGACTTGGGAGGAGTATGTTTGGTGGTGTTTGGTGGCTCGATGGACAAAACCTCTAATGCCAGGATGGCTGGAGTGAACTGTAGAGAGAGCTAATGAATGGAACTGGCATCTTCTTCAACCTTGCCAACAGTGAGGGAAAAAAACACTTAGCCACAGCACATAATCAATATAGCACTCAAGGGAACAAGTGGTAGCTGATGCCAGTATCTGGTGATAAAAATGGTTGTCTAATCCGCTCCAAAACATGACATGAAACACATCATGGCACCATTATTCCATGGAACCAAGTTGAAAAGGACAAGAAATTCTCTCAATAGGTAGCCTGACTTCGTCATACTCATATTCTTGTCGGAATATGAGTCTGAAACTGCTCCAGAGGGCTTTGATTATGAGGCGTGTCTTAACCGAACCAGGAAAAAAAAAACTCTGCACTCAATTGGATCGTCGGAAAACCTACAACCAATCAGAGCAACGCAGTAAGTCGACTACTTTGCATACAGTTGTCAACTACAGAACTTAGTTATTTTAGAAGTTAAATCCCGTCATTTTTTTAAACTTTTATAAACCCAGCCAGTATAATCACAATGAACACATCCAAAATGAATTATTTAACATAACTGCAAAGCATCCAATTTGTAAAGAAAATTATTTACGCACTAAATCCAGCATAAACTCCGGCACAATTTGCATATTTTAAAAATCTCAAAACAGACGTCACATCTCAAACCGCACATCAATTGGCTGCCGACTGCATTTTTCGCTTGATATTTGCATAAAGTCAAGAACTGCCCGACCTTTTGACGCTCTCAACGCTTTAAATGCACTATACGCGAGCGTGAAGCTCGACTTCCATAGGAATGAATGGGCTCTATGCACGGCGGTATTTCCAGTGAAGCATTAGGGATGCTCGATAACTTCCGCCGATCGTAGAGTCCAATGCAATACCGAGAATTTATATTGAATTTTATACTCCATGGTTATACTAAAGAAACGTTAGTCACAAAAACAGATAAAACAGACACCCCTCGTTGTGTTTATGCTTCTTTTTAAAATTATATTAAATAAATATAACTATATATAAAATTACATCTTAGAAACGTATGTACGTTTCATTTCAAAGACTGGAGGACAGTAAATTTTGAAGACTCTGCCATAATCCCGTTTTCCTCGGTTTTCCTCCGCTTTAATCTCCACAACCGGAAATGGAAGAGCATCCTTGTGTCAAATGCGGAATTTATGCGTGCATATAGCCCATTGAAAACGCTCGCTCCGCTCCACTCGCTCCGTGCCAGTGGACACGCACCGTAAGGATGCTGGATTACTTCTGCCGATCGTAAAATCCAGTGCTATACCGAGAATTTATATTGGTTTTTATACTCTATGTCTATACTAAAGAAACGTTAGTCATAAAACAGACAAAACAGACACCCCTCATTTTGTTTATGCTTCTTTGTTTATTTTATTAAATAAACATAACTATATATAAAATTACATCTAAACGTATTAACTTCTAAACGCGGAACTTATGCGTGCATGTAGCCTATTCAATTTATCAAGAGATATTTATAAATGCTGTTCTTTTGAACTTTGTATTCATCAAAGATGAAAAATGTAGCACAGTTTCCACAAAAATATTAAAGGTGTGTTCGCGGCATGTCGTAATTACAGCAATTACGTGATTTTAACTTTTAAAAAGCGTTCACGTCCTCGTAGAGCTCTTAATTACAGCTTGTAGAATGGGAATTGTTTGAGAGCTCCTACACATTGCGACTGCTCTATCACCTGACCGCTGCAGATTCATTCTGGTGCTATAGAAACGCACAATCCCAGTCCGAGGACCTGAACAGCTCCGAATATAACATCAGGTGTGTCACGTCGAGACTATGGTAATTACAGCATGGTGTGAAGAAGCAGCAATAATAGGAGAATAATAAGAAATAAGCTATAAAACGGACAAAAGTTAACCTGGTTTGGTTAAAGATTATAAAGAATATGAAAAACTTCCATCATTTTGGAAATTGACACAATGCAATCTCATCTTTCTCCTCAAAAGAAAAATACAAATGGCAAAAAACTCCATTAGCTCTCTAATTAATCTCATTGCTGTCGACCAAGATATTAAAGAGATTTGTGATTTAACAGAATCCAAATGATCTAATCTAGATCCAGATTGAGACCAATCTAG